TTTCAGGATGCTGGATGAACCTCTATGAGGTTAGTTCTGCCATCCAGGGATCCCAGGCTGAGGTCATCCCAATACCTGAGTATGAGTGGAGCAGGTGAGGTGGGGCAGACTGAGCAGAGAGAAAGGATAACAGGCAGCATGCCAGTGCTGAAAGGGGACACAGCATCCAAGAGCCTCAGAGGTGGGGAAGGCAGCAGCAGCATCCTTTCCTTAAGTCTGGGGAACTAGCGCATCCCAGTTAAAGCCTGAAGTCACAGCCCTTGCCAGTTTCCCCAAACTTTAAAGCCAACTTCGTAGAGGCGAGAGACTCACAACTGAGTTCTTGACTCGTCTGGCACTTCTTAGTTCATCCCTGATGTGCGATTTTATGGGGTTGGAGGCTTTGACAATGAAATGTGTTTACCAGTGATAGATATCAAGTGAGACTACTTTATAAAACTCAAAAGTATGATGAAGATGATAAATATCCCCATCCCTCCTAGTATGAGGAAACCACTACAAAATTGTTTATTATACCAAGTCTCACTTTAAATATTCCCTGTTTGGGGGTGGGGAGCATGGTGGCACAGGCTTTCAATTCTATCACTTGGCACAGGCAGGCATGTCTCTATGAATTCAAGGCCAGTTTACATAGGGAGTTCCAGGCCAGTCAAAGCTACATAATGATAAAAAACAAACAAACAAAAAAACCCAAAAACCTACTCACCCCACCAAATGCCTACATTTAGGTATCTATTTTACATGTATTAAATACATTGAATGTTCTACCAAAAATATATCAGTCAGAGTGGGCACACTCACAGACACACATCTGCAATCTTCTACTGGCTGAGGAGGCAGGGGCACAGGGAATTCAGTTCAGTCTGGGCTCTGAGTAAAAATCAAACAAACTTGGTGGTACATGCCTTTAACTGTAGCATTTAGGAGGCAGAGGCAAGCAGATCTCTGTGGTTGGAGCTCAATCTGGTCTATATAGTGAGTTCCAGGTTAGCCAGGGTTACATAGTGGGAAAGTGGGGAGGGGACCCTACCCCTAAACCTAATCATTATCTCATTCCAGATTATAGAAGTATCATAGTTTAACACTATATTGTTATGATTTTAGGCAACTTTCAGTCTTCCTGTACTGCTCTCCAGAAGGTATTCTCTTTCCTAAGGGCAGTTAAATACAAGTGTAGACATTTGTAACGTTCCTGTCCTGTGCCATGAGATTGGCTGAGGATGCTGTTCAGCTCACACAGTGTTTGGCTAGCATTCAGGGAGCCTGAGTTTGGTCCCCAGAGCCGTATAAACAAGGCATGGTGGCCCACTCACTGCTAGTAACCCAAGCACCCAGGAGGTGTTCAGACGTTTATTTCAGGACCTTCCTGGGCTAAATTCAAGAGACCAAGTTTAAAAAAGTGTTTCTCTTGCCATATTAGAGACAGCTACGTGAGACTCTGAAGTTAGGGAAAATTCATACTTAATACTATAATTTGTATATTTTGAAAATGAAATAATACTCATTATTTACATAAGTCAGAGTACAGAAACACGGCATCACAGAAACTTCCAGTTTGGGCTAAAGCACACAGAGGGTCCAGCGTATTCTAGTGTGGGGTTTCAGTTTGAGGTGGCCCAAGGTACTGTAGTGTGAAGGAACAAGACCTACGGAGTGAAAACACTTGTTCAAATGTTCAGCCTGGATACTTGCTATTAGAAAATATTTTTTCCTGATGATTCATATCGATTTATAAGCAAGGGTGACCCCAGTGCTAGGGAAAATGGTGGCTTATGTTCATCACAGAGATTCTAGTAATGAACTAATATGAAAGGCAGAGCAGACCTGAAAAGTGTTAGACACAGGCAGTAAGGCTATCTTGTTTCTAGGATGACAATGATGTCTCAAAACATAAAAATGAAAGGGATGTTTTAAATGTAGAACACAGCATCAGCTGGGGTCATGTACATAATGAAATACTGGTTTATGTTAGCTGTAAGGAGAAGGAGGAGGAGGAGGAGGAGGAGGAGGAGGAGGAGGGGGGGGTGTATAGAGAGTTCCTAAGTAGCCATAAAGGGGTACTTGGCAGAGCAGAACTTAGTAGTGTAAATAGTAATGTGTACTGGAAACTGAATTCAGTGCCTTCTGCAGACGACTACTAAATTAAATCCCACAGAGAATTGTATCATAAACATTTTCAGTCACAGGAATAAAAGGTTCTAATGAACACATCTACAGAGACATTCAAAATGTTGGAATACTGACATCTCACATATTTGGATCCAACCATCTGTATAAGGAATGTCTAAACACTTGATCCTCAAGTGATTCAACATGACTAGCACCACATATATTCCTAAGTCAATGCAACTGGTGGAATATATAAACACGAGGCAAATAATTGTACTAACACTGGTAATTAACACTTCAAATATTTCCATTACACCCTTAGTTCCAAATAGAAAGCTGGGAAATTGGACATATTTTTAGCCTACATCCTATGCATGCCATATGTTCTATTATCAGATACTTGTTGATAACTGGGTCTTTTACACAATGAAAGCATGTCTAGAGAATTTTACACATAATTCCTGAAAATTGATTTTTTTTACTTGTGACAATAAATGGTTTCTTTCAAAAAATCTATTTTTATACTTTACATATTCTATACTACAACTTCTAATAGTATAAATGGATATTTTAACTTTTGTGTTTCATTTTGTTTCAAATGTCCTAGTATGGCCTTGAATTACCGTATATAATAATTAGGTCCCAAGTTCCCCTGTCTGTAGTATGGGTTGACTCCCCGGTGGATCATGGTCATTCCACCCTCCAGTGCTGGAATTACAGGAAGGTACCACCATAGCCACCAACTTCTGCCTCTTGGGGATGAAACCCAGGTTTTTGTGCTTATTAGCAAAACACTACAACTCCAGACCCTTATTTAACGCTAAGTGGCTACAGCACTGTTTTATATTCCTGAAAATACACACTTATAACATTTGCAAATGCTAAAAACTTCTACTTCCTAACCACAGATTCCCAAAGGCACCAAATTATTAATATAAAATAATTATGGAGAGAGAAATATTAACTAGAGTCATAAAACAGCTTTTTAATAGAGCAAAATATTAACAACTATATTCAAACCCACACATTACAAGGGCTAGACGTATGCTGTACAGAAAAAAAAAAGGACAACAAAACCAAAACCAAACCAAACAAAAATCCACCATTAAGGAAGGCGACTTGAATCCTGTGAATGTTTTGAAATTAACTAAAATCAAGGCCAGCAATAATCCTTTACAAGTGCTCCCTACTAACTTTTGGAAAAATGAAAATTTGCACCCCTTTAATATCAGAACTCAGGAAGCAGTCTTAGAGAGTTGGAGGCCAGCCTGGACTACAAGAGCAAATTCCGAGACTGTCAAGGGTAAACGGAGACACCCCCCCCCCCCGTCTTTAAAAACAAACAAACAACAAAACAAAACAAAAACCCATGCAAATAAAACTTGATAGTTTTCCTTTTCTGTTCTTTTTCTTTTTTTGGTCCAGGCCTCAGCTCCAGCCACCCTAGCCCTCCTGGGTAGTGTCAATAGTTTTACATTTCCATGCCTAAAAGACAATTGGTACAGCAACAAACAGCTTTCCCAGGGGGTGGCAGCTTCACTTTTGGAACCCAGTGTTCTCTAAGATTTTTGCATACTGTATTTACATAGTTTTTTTTTTCTTTCAGTTTTCTAGATCACCCGATGTGAGGATAAAACCTATCACAGACTCTATTTTTCAAGCAGTAGGCCTCAAGTAAAACCCATGTTAATTGTGGTCTGGGACGCTTAAAATATGACTACTTCTGACTCCTCCCGGATGGCACGTTTAAATTCTATGTCTGAGGATCCTGAAGGCACTATCCAAAACAGTTTCAGCGACTTAGGCCAGCCCGTAAGAAGTTTCCAACTCTATGGATAGCCATTGTCTATACTGGCCTAGGAATCTTAGAGAATCGAGTGCTGGCTCCTGCATGCAGCAGCTACTGATTATATTTAAAACAGTGACGCGTTGTCCTCCTATTTTTGGATGTCAACCTATAGTCTCCTGCCACTCTCGCATGTCCTCCGCTACACTTGCGAGCAAGGGTGAGCAGGCCTGGTGGACGGGGGCGGAATAGGCAAACCCTTAGAAAACAAGACCGTTAGAAGGTATACTCCCCCGCCCCCCCCGCCCCCGAGGGAAATTAAGAGCTCTAGAAAACCACCTTACCTACGTTAGTGTGTGTATGCATGTGTGTAAGTAGGTATGTATGTATGTAAGTGTGCACGCCCGCAGTTTACTGAAGCATAACGGGGAACCGTAGGAGCCACTCACTAACTAAGGCGGCAGGTTTAGCGATTTAAGAATCCTAAGTGTTTCGCAGGGTTGAGAAGGACTGTGAAGCGGCCCCTTCAGACTCACCATGTGGGAGACAGGAGAGCGCGCCATCTCCAAGGAGCTCACCCGAAGCGAAAAAAAGCGACCCCTTCCTTCCCTCGCTCCCTCTTGCCCTGCCCGCACCGGGGCGCGTCCTCTTTTTCTACCTCGCGGGGCAGCGGCATGAAAGCACGCGGAACCCCAGCTCCTGCGCGCGGCTCAGGAGGGCCTTTCCTACCTGCTCCAGGATGCAGCCGCGGCCCTCTTTGGCGCTGGCTCCTCGCTAGCATCAACAGCAGGGCCACGACAGCCCGTGCGCGGCTCGCTGACCGGTGTCGCGAGGATCGCGGGAACTGCACCACGAAAGCCCTCACTCGGGGTGGGCGATCCGCGCGCCGCCGCCGAATCCGCACAGTCACCAGGAACCTGTACCCCATGCTCCAGCCGCCGCACTCGCCCAGCGGCGGTCGCCTCCGCGTGACACGGGAGGTGAGAAGCGCCGCCCCCGGCCCATTCGGTTAGGAGGCACCCCGAGACCCACGCGCCGCCCCCGGCCCATCTCCGCCCCCCACCCCCCCACCCCCGCCCATCTCCGCCCCCTGGCGTCCCCGCGTCCCCGGCGCGCCGCGCGCCGTCCCCAGTCGCGCGGGAAAGCTTCCCAGAGGCGCCCAGAGGGAGGCGCGCGCGGGGCCCGGCGGGCCGCATCCGGGGTCCCGCTGCCTCCCGCCCAGCGCACGGCCTCCCGCCTCGGCCGCTCGCCGCGCTCGCCACCCCTCGCGGTGACAGCCGGCGCCGCGGGACGCGTGCGCACCGCCCGCCCCCAGGCTGCAGCCGTCACCTATCGCGGCTGGGCCCGGCTCGCCCGGCGAGCGCGCGCGCGCGCGCGCGGGTCCGTTGTCACTCCGGTCAGGTTCGGGTCCCGGCCCCCTGCCTCTATGCCTGACGCCCCTCGGCGAGTCTTGCCCGGTTCCGAATCCAACTATTCAGAGGAGAAAAGGGAAGATCGGAGAGGCCTGCCGGCTGCCAGCCCGCCAATCAGGACGCGCGCGGGCGTTTTGAACACTGAGCAACATGGAGCTGCGCTCCTCCGGTGGGAACCGCTCTGAAAGAAGACCCTCAGCGTGCACGGGGACCCGGGGCCTGCGCCCCGCTGCGGATCGGTAGGTGCGGCGGCCCGATCGGTTCCCGAGTGGTCGGGCAGACACGAGGCGGCCGCCGGGGGGACCGTGTTTATTTTCGGTTTTAAGAGAGAGCGCCAGAGGAGCATCCGCGGCTCTTCCTCTTTCCCCGCCCCGCGTCCCCACCCTCCCCGATCCCCTCCCCCGCTCCGGGCTGTCCCCTTCCCCGCTGCCTCCCACCCTTCCCTCCTCCCCCGCCGCGGTGACCGCGGAACAGAAAAAAGCGGGGAGAAGGAGAGGAAGGAGCGGTAAAACGGAGCGCCGAGTCGACCCGGCCGCGGCCGGGGACGCGGGGAAAGCGCTGGGTCAGTCGCGGGTCCGGAGCTCGTGGCGCTTGCGAAAGCGGAAAGTCGAGCCCAGGACGCCTCTAACAGGCGAGCGGTGGTGCCCCGGGGTCCGGTGCTCACCGGACAGAGGGCTATCAGTTCGGACCTGTTCCGAGTTCGCTGGCTCGAGATCCTAGCTGGCCTGGGAGGCCCAGCTGTGCAAGATGACGTGGGACCCGGGCTAGCTTTCGGAACCTGGTATTGCGGGCCCGAGACTCGGTGGCTTCCCGTTTACATGCTCGGGCCTAGTGGTCTGGCTGCAGTAGAGTCCACATCAGGGTGACAGCTGGCAGGGTTTTTATAGAGCAGACTCCAAGTCCCAGCACTAGACACATTTAGGATTAGCTAAACCAACTCAGCTAAGGCCTTGCTGTAACTGGGAGGTCATTCGGGACCAGCCGCTGCTTTTCCATCTTACCCTCTGGTGTGCGACATTGCAGTAGAACCTCTCAAACCCGGGACTGAAGAATGATGGGTTGGCTGGGTGGAATGAGATTCGAAGGGTCCCTGTATGGACCCCCGAGTATCAGCGTAGGGTGAAAAACAAAACCCCAAACAACTCACACCTTGGGTAAACTTCACTGAGAGTTTGAACTCTCCAAATACTGAGCTTGGCCCCGTGGGCATCTGGCTACCCTTCTCCTGAAGCTGCCACCTCCTCTAGGCATTAGGCAGTTTCCCACTTCCAGGAATGCTGTTTGAATAGGGGGGCTACCATGGCCTTTCTTTGAATAATGTAAGATTAAATATCTATACTTTTAAATTCCACCCCTGTTGCCTCATGTCTGTTCTCTGTGTTGTATGTGGAGGAATTGTGAATTTTTATATTCGTGTAAATACAATCATGAAGCTGTTGGAGTCCCAAGTGAATTTTGGCTATGTGTTCTTCAAAAAGTTAGTAATGAATTGGTAACCTCGGTGATGAATTTTGACCTCAGAGTTGTCCTTTGAATTCAAGACAGTTGTTCTTATTTTACAGGCGACAAGACTGAGAGGCTCAAGCCTTGGACACTGCATGGCTTCAAGTGTGCAGGCTAGACTCAGAACCAATCGTTGGACTTGGGTGGTGCCATCTTTCTGTTGTCCCAAAGAGCAGTCATTTGGCAGCGAGTTATCTGTGAGTCGCTTTGCAAACACAATCAGTGGAAATTGGAAATTCTCTTTGCTGTTTTTCAGTGGCCTAAAAGACAAACAAACAAACAAAAACAACCAATCAAAAAAATCCTGATGGTCAATTTTATGTCTTTTATAAAGAAAAACAGTTTTGTTTTGGATTAGCAAACTCATTCTGTAGGGAGGAATAGAAAATACGTCCCCCCCCCAATGTTGGGGAACACATTTTTTTTCTCTCAGGTAGGGCCTTTGCCTTTGCCTCCCCCCCCCCCAGGGTTCTGGGACTAGAGGCTAGAGTTCCAGGCAAACTCTCCATTACTGAGCTGCATTCCAGCTATTACACACTCATTGCACACACTCAAACTCAAATCCACCAAGGCATAAGACAGGAGACACCATGGGGCTGGGGAGATGGTTCAGTGGGCAAAGCACCTGTCACACAGGCACGAGGACTGGATTGAGATCCTGTTGTCCCACTGCCAGAGATGAAGAAGGAGATCCCCTGAGCAAGGTGGCCAGCTGGACAAGCCACATCCTCAAGTGGGAAACCCTACCTCAGTATATAAAGCGGGGAGACTGACACTTGACTCTACCCTTTGACCTCCACACAAGCACGTGCATGCACACATCCGTCTACACACAGCAACTTGCATACACATGTGCCCATTGAGCATATACGGAAAACAACAAAAACAACAACAACAACCCCACAAAACCGACCAGAGCAGCTGGGCACGGTGGCTTTAGAGGCTGAGGCAGGGAGAACAAGAATTTGAGGCCAGCTTGTGAGACATTGTCCGGAAACATAGACAATAGCGGCTGGGGAGATGGCTCAGCAGAGAAATGTGCTTCCTGTACGAGCACAGGGATCCAAGTTTGAATACCCAGAACTCATGTAAAACTGGGCATAGTAGCCTGCCTGTGTAATCTGGGTTCCTACAGCTGGGTGGTAGGTGGAGACAGGAGAATCCCCTGAGGTCCTGTTAGCTTGACATACCCAGCAGCAAACAAGGTGGAAGAGACCAACAGTAGAGGCTGTCCTCTGACCTCCAGGCGTGTGCCCTCTCACAGGTGAACTTACACACACACACACACACACACACACACACACACTCACACACACACACACACACACAAAGATTAAGAAACAAAACTATCCAAAGCTTAAAAAATTTATTATACCTTTAAGCCCTCAAAAGATGAAAAAAATAGGCAAAGAATGTAATTATGTTATATACTGAAAAGATAATGTCAGTAGCAAATTAATATAAGCAGAAATACTTAAAGTATATAGCTGTAAGTGGCAAAGAAAAAAAGAAATGACAGTGTTGTCAGCAAGGAGTCTTCCTGGATGCTATTAGAACTTGAAGTTATTTTGGAAAAGCTTTACAATGCACTAAAATTGTATGCACACAAGTACTCTTAGATTCAGGTGTTCCATTCTTGTAATTCATGTAACTATCCAGAAATACCAAAAATAACATTTGAAAAATATACACATATGCATACTGTACTACAGATAGCATTCAGAAGTATAGCAAACAATGCATGTTAGATGTTTGTGTATATTTTCATACACAGATACATAAGCTTTTAACCGACAATTCTAGTCTTAAAGCTCATGTATGTTATATATGTGTGTACACATATATATAAGCATGGGAAATTGCATATATATGCACATATAGAAAAATTGTGAACACACACAAATATAAAGACACAGGTGTCCCTTTAGCTGCAGAAGTGTCACTTCAAATTATTTCATCTGTGGATCATGGAAGTATAGAGAAAAGTTTATAATAGTATACAGTAGCAAAAGAATAAACATAAAACATGGTGTATTGGGATATTTTATGTTTTCTAAGAACCCTGACTCACCAACAAAACCAGGGCTCACCCTCAAGCACAGAACTCTGTAACTGTGAGAATGGAAGTGCATCTCTCTATGTGGGCAGCAGTTGTCAAAGGACCCATGATAGCAGGGGAAAGTAATTAGAATAGCATAATCCTACATGTTTTCAATACATGTTGGGTAGACATGTTTAAAATTACACACATGCACACAAGCACAAGTTTAAAAGTCTCAGATTTTTATTTATTACTTGCTGCTTTTCTAAACTATTTCAACCGTTTGCCATCAACAAGAATTATAGTAACCACTGCAGATCAGTTATCATTGAGTGAGTCTGGAACTGTGCTTTCTGAGCCAAGATTAAGGCCCAAATTTTTTCAAAAGAAAGGTTTTAATACTTGTTGCCTTCTAATAACTACTAGGGCCAACACCATCATGGTGTAGATATAGTAAATACTTGAAGGTAGAGTGTCATTCAATTTTCCCCCCAGAAGACATTCCATTTTTCTGTTTACTGTAAGATGAAACCACCGCAAATCCTGTAGTAGCTTTTGGTAGTAACCCTCGGGGAGCAGGAGAGGATGGTCCGCTAGTTTTCAGGCATGGGAACAGCCCTGACTCCAGGTGGCATGTGGGCAAGGGAACAGTGAGGAGCGCTTCAGTGAAGGAGGAAACAGGAAGGGCTTAGGGCCTCCTAGCCAACCCCTAGACAAGGAGTCACGGCACACGAATCTTCCTTGTCACCCTTGGAAGAAAAAAACTCTTACCAGTAATCAACTTGTCTTTTTTTTTTTTTTTTTGGTGAAAGTTCTAAATTGTGAAAGTTCTTGATTTCTTTTAAATTATCTTATAAGCATTATAAAATATGCAATAGCATACCGTGAGATTATTTTAAGCCTAATTAGATAAAGAAAGCGGATGTAACAGTGTTAGAGCTCTCAGGAGGGTGCAGAAACCTTTCACGTTAATCTCTGATTTGGGAGTCCCCTGAGAGCTAGCTAGTGCAAGTCCACATAAGGTGCTGTCCCCACCAGCCAGCCGCTCTGCTGCCTGTAGCTCAGTACTCCTTAACTGGCACAGAAGAGAAAGAGGTCTCCAGGAAGGCACAGTTGTCAGGCAGAGCAAGGAGACAGATGTGTGAACCGAAGGAACTTGGAATCTGTTCCAGCTTCCATTTTCTCTTTGACTTCTTACACAAACATAGATTGGGAAGCCTTGTCATGTAATCACACAAAAGCCACATTTTCAGTGTACTTACATTAACTTAGAATAGCTAACCCCCACAGTATTTTCTATATTGTATTGTCTACGTAGTTTATTAGAAGAAACTAATTAGTTCTGGGGTCTCAGTGACATGAAAAGATAGAAAAAGCAATAGAAAAATCAGAACTATGATGAGTTGAGAAAGACTTAAAAAATCAAGCCAAGTATTTCTATTGCACTGGCTTTCGGTAGACTTCTCTGTTGTCAGTGAACCAGGGCAGCATGGTGGTTCAGGGGTAGAATTCTCAATTGACTGATGTGTAATATTATAAAGGATTCCCCTCTCCCCAGGGCAGCATGGTGGTTCAGGGGTAGAATTCTCAATGAACTGATGTGTAATATTATAAAGGATTCCCCTCTCCCCAGGGCAGCATGGTGGTTCAGGGGAAGAATTCTCAATGAACTGATGTGTAATATTATAAAGGATTCCCCTCTCCCCAGGGCAGCATGGTGGTTCAGGGGTAGAATTCTCAATGAACTGATGTGTAATATTATAAAGGATTCCCCTCTCCCCAGGTCACAGAATTTCAGTGTTTTTTCTCTTGTCTCTGTCCTCTATATATCTTTGCTTAGCTCATGGCAAAAATAATTGCTAATTAAGATATGCAAATAAATATTCACAAACACAGATCTCTCTCCCTCCCTCCATATATAGACACATGTACACATACAACATACATACATCACTGTCAGCTATGCAACGATTCAAAAAGCATAGGACTCTAATCCAGTTGCCATATTTATATACAAAGGAAATTGATGCTTATGAAAGTGATGTGGCTTAGCAGCCACATATGAAATTAATTAAATATGAAGCTGTGCCTAGCTTTCTTCTCTCCATTTCCCCTCCTTGTGAAAGAAGTTCAAATAGAGTGGGAGAATGTTTTCAAACCATTGAGGTTCAACTGTTATTGTTTCTCCAAGCAATTGCTAAATTGGAAATTAGTTTAAAATATATGATAATATCTGCCCATCCAGTCATCAGTAGTTGAAACTGAAGGTTGAAATGACAGCAAGTTACACCAACTTGAGCTTTCATAAATGAATCAATAGTTATGCTAGTGACGGCAGTGTGCCCACCACGTAAGAATATGACTGTGGCTAGATGCTCATTTGCATTTGGGGACACTGCCTTCTGCTGTACACAAGACTGCTTCAGATGTATTCTGTTAACTTTTTGTGGATATTTAATTCTGTTGCTTTGCTTTTTTTAAAGTGGCAAAGTTTTGGCTATAGTGCTGCTTCTTAACCTGCCATGAAAACCACCAGCTTCTGGTAAAGATCAAAAGAAATTAGCTCATCTCATTTAAAAACTAGTCAGAAAATTATAAAGGCAGTTAAAGTCTCTGTTAACTATTTTATAAATATATGTATGACTTGTTTTTAATATTTCTTGTGAAGGGCAGTTAGGAATGTGTTAGTGGTAAGTGTGTGCTGAAGGTCTGTGATCTAGCTTAAGATAAAGTGGACAGTGTATTGTTTGCTATGACATAGAGAAGAAATCTCTATCTAAAAACATTCTTAAGTAATGTTGTTCCAAAGGCTTTGGGGATTTTTATGAATCTTGGCCTCTCTTTTGAATATATCTCATTTCTTAGTTCAGAAATAAGTAATCAGAACCATTAGAGCATTGCCAATTTTTACAATAACTTACCGGTTTCCCCCAGACAAAGGGAAAAAAAAACCTTGATGCCAAAGTGAATTAAGTTACTGAAGTGGTAAGTCTGACTACCATGTCATCTTGGAATGAAGACCAGTAGAGAGGGTTTGTAGTATTTTGACTAAGATACAGAAGTTAGTAGGTTTATTTGCTCTTCTGTAATTTTACAAAGGAATGAGGAAAAAGTCTTGTGACTATAGTTAGCTGCACTTGTTTGCATGGATTTGCAAAGCCAATTTAATTTAACAGGACTACATCCTGCTAAACTTAGCTCCTAGTACTGCTAAAAAACACACCATCCAAACCTGTGTGTCATATGACCTTGAGCCTAATTATTTTTTGTACAAGCCACCATTTTACTTCAGCCAGGTAGTAACTGATTTCTAATAATGTTTTGATTTTGCTTTATACAAAACTAATAAAACAATGTGCTACATTACTGTGGCATTCATATATTTTTAAAAATGATTTTTTATTATATTGTCACTGAGAATTATCCCATTTCTTTAAATTGGGAATAACAGGTGTAAAATATTTGTATTTTAAGAGATAAACAATTTCATGAGTCATTCTTCTCAAACTAGCAAATTCAGATACTTGAGCCAAAAGAAATAAAGGAGAAGCTAAGGGATTTTATAAAGCAAATGTGATGTTTATATTATTACTTCTGTGATTTTTCTTCGAAGCTGTTAAATAATATATCCTTAAAAATTCCATTTTGGGACACTTTTGATTATTAAAGTGATTAGAATTATATTTTCCATCCTTATAGCTCAGTGTGAAAATGAGCGCTCCATAATCTGTGCTCACATTTTTTTCTTACAATATATTTTGATCATTTTTTTCCCTTTCCTAATTTCTCCTAGAGCCTGCCCACTTCCCTAGCCACCCAACTTTGTCTTTTTCTTTCTCAAAAACAAACAAAAAACAAGTAACCCCCAGACCCACAAAACCAAAAATCAAACTAAGCAAAAGACCAATGAAACAAAAAATGACAACGCAAAAGGAGACAAAGTTCACAAAAACACCATTGAATTTGTGCTGCTTTAGCCTCCTGGGCATGGCACTTGCCCTGCAGATGTGGTTGATGTACCCAGTGAGACTCCATGGAAGAAAAGTCATTTTTGCCTTTGCCAGTGGGAGTCCATTGCAGATAGCTTCTTGGATAGGGGTGGGACCCAGTGACCACTTGACCCTTTCTGCTTGAACTTGTGTATGCTGCTATAGTCTCTGAGTTCACAGGAACATCAATTCTGTTTGTTGTGTCTGGAATACAGTTTCCTTGACGTCATCCATCCCCTCCCCTTAAAATCTTTCTGCCTCCTCTTCCACACAGCTCCCTGAACTCTGTAGGGATGAGTTTTATAATGGCACCTCATTTAGGACTGGGTGTTTCAAAACCTCTCACTGGGCACCTTGTTGTGGGTCTCTGAGTTATTTTCCATCTAATGCAAGAACCTTCATTGGAGCTGGGCAGTGGTGGCAGAGGCAGGCGGATCTCTGTGAGTTTGAGACCAGCCTGGTCAACAACAGCTAGTTCCAGGACAGCCTCCAAAGCCACAGAGAAACCCTGTCTCGAAAAACCAAAACCAAAACCAAACAAAGCAAAAAAAAAAAAAAAAAAAAAAAAAAAAAAGCTTCACTGCTGTGTGTTGAGTTAGGCACTGATCTATAGGTATAGAAGTATGTCATCACTTTATTACTATGTTCCTTTCGCAGAATGATGTAGTAGGTTTTCCCCTTGGCCATGTCTTATTCTCGTTTTTTAGGTTCTTGGCCATTTAGCAGTGTCAGGTATGGATTTCATTTCATGGAGAGCAGCAACTTATTCTTCACCTTTGAAGGAGTTATCTGTGAGGTTTTTGTTTCAATAACCTAAATGTTTCATTTCGGTTGGAATTTTCTTTAGTGATTCCACTTCTATTTTCATGTCTTGAAATGTTTTTATTCACTCAGCTGTTTGTGTTTTTACAGTCTTCATTAAGACATTTTTATCCATGCCCTCTTTAAAGGTATTTGAACACACTCGTAGTTGTCATTTTGAGGTCCTTATGTGTGTCAGTCAAATTGAATTTCTCAGGGCCTATTGCAGCATGATTACTGGCTTCTGGAGGAGGCGTGTTGTCTTGAGTGTTCATGTTGGTGATTTCGTGCTTGGATCTAGACAACTGGAGTTGTCTGAGGTGTTCTGTGGTACAGCTATCTGGTATGGTCTTGTTGGGTGACTGTTCCCTTCTTTGGCTGGGAACACTGTCGTCCACTCTGGGTCTTAGGCAAGTGTGGTGGCTGTGGTGGAGTGTTTCTGTGGGTTGGTGAGTGACACAGAGTAATGTGATGGGCTAGGAGAAAAGGCTGAGAGAGAGAGGCAGTGGGAAAGAGTTAGGAGCAGCAGATTGCACCCAAGACGAGACTTCAGGGAGCTGGGCTGGGCTGGGAGGAGGAGCTCCTGCAGGCAGGCTGCTACAGGAATAATTATGGAGAGGAGGATGGAGGTCAGGGAGGGTAGTGGTAATCTCCCTGGGTCTCAGTTCACTGTGGCCACTGGGGGGTCCCGAAAGTGTGGCAGGCTGGTGACTGACACAAAAGTATGGAGATGGGCTGACAGGCCAGGCAGGAAAGAGTTAAGGCTCTCTTGGGGCCTCACCAAGAGGTGGAATCCCCAGGGAGTGGAGACAGGTAGCCGGGGAGGGTCTCCTGCTGAGGACTTTAAGTCTGTGTAGACAGAGATGAAAGATTTACGCTGATATTTTTGCGTTTTTGAGGAGTTATTCTCTAAAAGCTACTAAAAATCATGTTTAATATAACATTTATATTTCTGAGATTTTACATGAGAAGAGCCACCCCCGAAGGTGAAAGAAAGATCATGTATTTTTGTATTTATCACAATACTCATTAGAAGCCAAAAGCGAACATTTTCCTCCTCTGGTCTGAGGTTTTGTGACAGCCTCCCATCCTTGTGCCTCTGACAGTACATTTAAATATCTGCTTCGGTGAGTTTCAAAGTCTACATTTATGTGAGGACTTGTGTTTGTGTTTCATTTAGCATAATGTTGCTTGAAGTGATGATGCGGTAACTAGCTTGATTCAACCGTTCCCCACTGTGTTCAGGAATCCTAACATTTTGCATTTAGATTACGGTGTTGTGCCTGCACATATGTCCGTGGGCGGGTGTCAGATCCCCTAGAACTGGAATTATAGATGGTTGTGAGCTGCTGTGTGGGCGCTGGGAATTGAACCCACATCCTTTGGAAGAGCAACCAGTGCTCTTAATCACTGAACCACCTCATCAGCCTCGAGGATTTGTTCTTTTAAGCAGAGCTAAGCAGCACATGTAAAAGGATGGCAGGGTCCATAACAAAGAGATTGAAAGAAAGCCTTATGCAAAGACATGAGAGATATGACCCTTTATAAAAATGTGTCTCCTCAAGCATGTGTTGACAACTTAACCCCCAGTGGTTCTGTGCTGAGTGGTGGTGGAAACTAAGGGGAGGTACTGTGCTGGGCAGTTTTTGTGACCACAACACAAATTAGAGTCACTGAAGAGGAGGAAACCTCACCCGGGGAATGCTGCCATCAGATAGGCCTGTGGGCCAATCTTCGAATATTTTCTTGATTATTGGTTCATGTGGGAAGGCCCAGCCCACTGTGGGTGATGCTACTCCAGGTATGGCGGCCCTGGTTTATAGGATGAGCACATGAGTACATGCAGAGTGCAGCAGAACAAGCAGCCTTCCTCGGTGGGGTGGTCTCCGCTTTACTTCCTGCCCTGAGTTCCTGGCTTAGCTTCCCTTGATGGACTTCAGCTGTCAGTCAAATAAACCCTTTCCCCAAGTTGCTTTTGGTCAGTGTTTATCACAGCAACAGACTAGAACAGGTGCTCAGCCCAGGTGGGCTCCACCCTCATGAGTTCATTAATGGGGGTTACTTTGCCCTCTCCCAGGGTGTCCCACTTGATGCCTTTTTTTTTTTTTGCCACATAATGATGTAGCAAAACCTACAAAAGGTGTGGGTTCTGGGTACCAGACTTGCCAGTCTCCTGTTCCATAAGCCAAAGAAGTCCCATCGTTTGTAAACTTTAAAAGCCAAATTGACTTACGTTTGCACATCATGGAAGGTGGAAGTGTTTAAGTGTTGAAGGAACAAATGAGCTTTAAAGCATGCCTAGTGTAAACTGTATCAATAAACATGTTTCCCTTCACCAAGAAGATATGGTTTAGTTCTCAACTCATTTCCTTTGGTAATACATTCATTTGGGAAATAAGGAATTGATAGGGAAGTTTTGTGTATTTAGTTATGTCTCTACAGTTCCTCTTCTCTATTTTAGATGAATATTCACTATATGGACACCTAGAAGGATAAAACATAAATCTTACGTTTTACTACAAGTAAGCATATTTTAAAAATAAAGTATTGAAATCATTCATCAGAGTTTATATATTATAAAGGTCAGAAGCAGTGAACAATTTTTAATCTTTTAACATTTGGGAATTAGTGGTTAAACCCATAGAAAAAGATTAATTTTGTAAAAAAATTGTGTGAATATTCAAATGTAGGCCATGTATGGATACCTGCTGAGGCCATAATATCCTGGACCTGATATAGTTGCTGGGCACTGAGTGGGTCTAGAAGAACAGCAAAGGCACTTAATCACTGAGACCTCACTCCAAGATTCATTTTAGCTTTTTAAAAAGTGTGTGTGTGTGAGAAAGAGAGAGAGACAGAGACAGAGAGACAGAGAGAGACACAGAGAGAGAGACAGAGAGAAAGCATGAATGAAGGTGCCTATGTAGATAGAAGTATTAACTTCCTTGGAGCTGGAATTATAGGTGATTGTGAGCCACCCGATAAGATTGCTCAGTACTGAACTCAGATTCTCTTGAGCCATTTCTCCAGCTTTGGAAATACACTTTAATGCCAGATTATTCACAGCTTGGAGTCTATCTATACTGTTTATTCTTTATTAAAACAAAGACGTATCAACTGTTTCAATGCTATAAGGACCCAAGCCACGATGGAAGCCCCACAGAGTGTATCCACAATTTGTTCAGTAGACAAGCAAGACAGCCCATAAGTTGTCATTTAATTTCAGTAAGTTCATACTCAACCTCTTTTGCCTAACCTTTAGGAAGTAGCCCAAGGACACCTAGAATAGTTCCCATGAGACACTCACTGTACCAGAAACAATGAACAGAGAAGTAACAGGTCAAGGATGAAAGCAGGGTGTGCATTGCCACTGGGAGTGTGCCACGTGTTGTAGTTTCACTAAGAAGCCATACTCCAGAAGGGGTGTCTGCTACAAGCCCAGTACTTAGGAGGCTAAGGCAGGGGTACCCTGACTTCAGGGTTAGCTTAAGCTACAGAGGAAAGTGCTGCCTTAAAAAAAAAGGGAAACAAACAAAACCAACCAAGCAAAACCAAGCTTCACTTCGGTCTCACCAGAAGTTACACTGTTAAAAGTGTAACTCATTAAATACACTGTTACTAAAGAACTCCAATGTAGGAAATTCCTCCAGGGGTTCTTAAACTGTTTTACATACAGCAAATTGCTACATACTACCATTCACCACTGAACTTTTGTGTAGGTTGAACCTGTCAGAAATCAGACCATCAAGCAACCGTGGTTCCCAGAGTATAGCAGGGATCTGCTGTCACCTAACACTGTTTTCCAGCTGGTGCCAGGGGTGGGTCCCCAGTTTCAATAGAATGCCATTTTGCAGGTGAACCACCATCCCGGCACAGTTGCTTCAAGCCCCAGGCGCTCTTCAATGCTTCTTGCCTAGTCTCCAGGGTTTCCTTCTAGACTGTGGATTATCTGCATTTGGAGGTCACAGGGGGAGGGAGGTACTGACTGCTCCCTCCCTATTGTCAGTCACCAAGCACATTCTCCAATTCCCACTGCACCATCATGTTGTGGAGATTCAAGAACTTCCCTTGTTATTTTACACCTGAAAAGGAAAGGGCTCCCAGAACGTCACACAATACTAAATCAAATTGGGGATCCCTTTGGCTTCAGGGTGAGAATAGAGGGCCAGATCCAGACCCAGATGCAGGAAAACACTTCGGAAGTTATTTCTCATTGGCTTTACCTTCCTGCATAGGCTTGGAGTTTTGGAAGACTTGCGGGTTGTACACAGCTCCCCTTCATGCTCGCAGTCTGCCTAGATGGTGCTGGGGTGAAAAACAAGTCCTGACGGAAGGTTGAGGGATCCTGCCATCAGTCCCCAGTGGCAGCATGCAGATAGACTGCGACATCATGATGGCCCATCTCTTCAGCCAGGTCCACCGGCAGGCGGCCCCAGGTGTCCCGCACATCCAGCCGCGCCCCTGCCCTGTGCAGCACCACCAGGGTGTCCAGGAAGCCCTCCCGAGCTGCATCGTGCACGGGTCTGGTTAGAGTGTTGGGGTCAGCGCAGTTGGGTTCCGCTCCGTGGAGCAGCAGCAGCTCTGCCACCTGGGTGCTGCCCATCATCATGACCTGAGGGGTAAGGAAGAGAGAGCTCTGCTCAGTGCGGGGCCGCTATTTCATAGAACGCGCAGTTTCCAGCCCTCAAGGTTTCCAGTGTCTGCTTTCTCATTTGCCTGCATAATCCATTCCACACCCGTTATAGCCTAGGCTGAGCGCAAAACAGATTCTATCTTAGTCTCCGTAGGTGAAGCAGCAGGAAAGGGAAGACAAATTGCTTATTTGTAATAAGGAACACTGGACAGCAGGATTTATTTTAAGTGATTTCTTAGCTAACTTTGAACCCGGCTTTTTATCTTTTATTCTTATTTGAAAATGGACTTTTTCCCCCTCACATCATCTATCCTTATTACGGTTTCCCCTCCCCCCACTCCTCCCAGCCCCTCCCTCTACTCCTCCCAGCCCTTCCCCACCTCCCTTCATCAGAACTGACTCCCTTTCTGTTTCTTGCAGAAAACAACCAACCAGGCTTTTAAGGGATATTAATACCAAAATAAAATATGATAAAGAAAAGCTAATACACTGGAATCGGACAAAACCGACAGAGGGAAAGAGACTAAGAGAAGGTGCAAGCTTCAGGGACCCACTCCTACACACAGGAATCCCCTAAACACGAAGCTGGAAGCCATAATATATACACAGAGGACCTGGTACAGACCCGGGAAGGCCCAGTGCACACTGCCTCAGTCATATGAACTTTGCTATGGCCGAATTAGAGGGCTTTGTCTTCTTGGTGTCCTCCATGGCTCTTTCACTCTTTCTGTCTCCACTTCTGAAGGGTGCCCTGAGGGGAGGGATTTGATGGAAACTCCAGTTTAAGGCTGAGTGTTCCAAGGTGTCTAGAGCATTCTGCATAATGTCTGTGGCTGTGGGTCTCTGTCTTTGCGCCCATCAGCTACAGGAGGAAGCTTCTCTGTTGAGGGCTGAGCAAGGCACTGAGGTGTGAGTCTAGTAGGATGTCAGTATCAGTCACTTCATTGCCACCCCCAGCAGTACTATTTGTTGTTCTCTTTAGACCCTGGGCCTTTAGTCAGATCAGGTATTGGTTGGCGGCTCCCACAAGCTTTACCACCATTGCCCTATCGTATCTTTGTATCTTGCAGGCAGGGCACCAGAGCCAGGCTCTCTAAAGTTTTATATATATAGTTTTCTAGGCTTTCTTTAGCCCTCTAGGTCTAACCATATATGGTTGTTGGTTTGTCAACTCAGCACAAGCTAGTCATTTGGGAAGAGGAACCTTTTCTCAGTCAAGTCTGTGGGGCATTTTGATTGATTGATATTGGAGGTGTGCCACCCCATAGGTGGTCCTGGAAGGTGTGAGAAAGGTGGCTACCCTTGAGCCTGAGAAACAAGCCAGTGAGCAGTGTTCCTCCATGACCTCTGCTCCAGGTTCCAGCCTTGACTTCTGTGCACTGTAGCATTTGAGCCTAAGCCAAATAACCCCCCTTTCTCTCCAAGTTTGTTTATCACAGCAGCAGAAAGCAAACTAAGACACTATATAAACCAGGTACTCAGCTGTTGCTTTTTTTTTAAATTTTAAGTTAGAGCATGCTTTAGAGGAGAAGAAGAAGTCAGTTTAAAGAAAGCTTTTGCTCTTTCAATGTCATGTATGTCTGTGCTAACAAAGTGATGTATTCTCTGATCACTTGAGCTAGAAGTGGAGACCAGAGGAAAACTGTCATATTCCAAGCTTTGCATATAGTACAGAAACAAATTCTTTGTTGTACAGGATTAGCATCTTTTACTATTTTAACCTAGTGTGATATACAGTGGAAAGTTTAGAGCAATACATTGTAATATGAAACTGACATTCATTTGCATTGTCTAAAAATTTAATGTTAAGTAGTATTTTTCTATATACAAAGACTATGAAAAGCTTGGCTTGTAGCTATTAAGTCACAAAGATGCATACTTTAGAAAGAAAATGATGCTTTGGAGATGTAATCCCATAGCAGCTATTTTGTACACTATGCAAATTTTAAGTTAATAGTAAAACAGTTTTTGGTATATAATTGACCTAAACAGTCACTGGTTCTTGTGGGCCTATGGGCTTTTAAAATTTACATGTAGTGAGCGGCAGTGGTCATTTGTCAGTTTTTATCAAGTGAGAGGCAGTGGTCATATGTCAACTTTTATCACATGAACATTAGAAACATTCCTTTCTTCAAGAAATATAATATGGCATTCATATAACAATGGTAAAGGCCATTTTTTTACAGCCACAAAAGATTTAAAAGTTCTCAGTAAAGGAAATAAAATCGTAAATAAAATTATTTCCATAAGGTCTTTATAATCACTTTACAATATTTTTGTTGCTTTAAAATATCATTTTGTTAAGCACTTCTTTTTTTTAAATTCAAGAGGGATGGATATTTATTTTCTTAAAAAGCCACACTATTAACAAGAGCTCCTATTTCCTTAGTCCCAGAGGGAAAGTGAGTAACAGAGGCAACTATAATAATCAACAGAACACAAAACATCGTGTTAGATCTTCAAGAAATAAAGCCAATAGCAATTAAACAGGATTAGTAAATACTGAGCAAATTAGAGAATGTTTAGGGAACCTCCTTGTCGTTCTGAAAGGATCCAACAGTTCTGTAGGGAGCTCTTTGCCTGTTCGCATTAAACAGTGAAAAACTACACACCGTTACTGCCCGCATACAAGGAATTAAATGCTGGATTTGCGAAGTCTTTAGTCCTGTGAATGCGCTTTGATTTATGAGGAGAAAAAAATAGAAAAGATTCATACGATTGTTTACAAGTTCACAATGAACATGCTTCCATCATACATACATAATTTTGTGTTAACTCCTTGAATCCAGACCGTGCAACTGGTAATCTATTTACTCATCTTTATCGTGTCGCTCTCTTTATCTGACCCTTCCTTTCCCACTTAGCTCCCCGAGGGTCCGCCTTGTATTTATAATTGTAAGATGGCAGAAGAAATATTGGTATTTTCCCACCATTACAAAGATTCGGAGGCTGGGGGATTTGTTCAAGGGTAGCGCGCTTGCCCAGCATGCACCGGGTCGTGGGTTCCAGACCCAGCATCTCAAAACGAAGAAAAAGCCAAGCAAGTGCAGTGGGTTTTTTTTCGATTGCTTTTGTTTTTCAGAATTTTTGCTCTCTGAAAACCTCCCGTTGTGGAGTACAGACGTCCAGCGCCCGCCGGCGGCCCAGGTGGCAGCCGCGGAGGGCACCGCGCTCGTGCGCCCCCTGCCGGCGAGGCCCCGTGGTCCCCCGCTACCTGGATCGGGCGCCTCCCGAAGCGGTTGACGGCGTTGGGATCTACGCCGGCTTCCAGGAGCTGCCGCACGGTCTCCACCTGCCCCCGCGCCGCGGCGGTGGCCAGGCCCGCGTCGCTGCCGCCGCCCAGCATGCCCTTGTCCTCCTCTCACAGCCCCGACGCGGAGTGGCAGGGATGGTCCTCCGCTGGCCGTTAAGATTGCCGCAGCCTGGTCCGTGAGCGGCTCCTCCGCTCCCCCGGCACCCAGCAGCGTCCGCGTCTATCCGGGGAGCGCGCGGGCTCGAGCCGAGCGCCTGGGAACCGCACCGTGGACGCTGGCGACTGGGACGCGGTGGGGAGCCCGAGGGCAATGAGCGGCGGCCGCGCTGCGGAACGCCGGCCCTGCCCCCTCAGACCACGCCCCTCGGCCAGTACCGCCCACCGATTGTGACGTCAGGAGACGAATGGCCGCACCCAGCAGGCGGAGCAGAGGCCTTTATTTAGTCTAGGCCTGCGGGTTTCGCTCTGGAGACGTTAATCGCTCCCTTGCAATCGAGAGGTCGAAAGAAAGCCTTTAGGGGAGAAAAATTCCTACTTTCTGAAGATGTCTGAAAGTGACAACATCGGTCTTGCGAGACTAGTTCATCTGTAGGCGGTACTTGAACGAGTTTCATGTCTTGCATCAGATCGAGCCATTTTCTTTTGGCCGGCCAGGAAAAAAAACAAAACAAAACATTTCAATAATCCTGTTTTGCGCGTTTTTACATTTGCCCCCCCACCCCCGCTTTGAGCTGTGGTTGTAATCCTGAATTTAAAAAGTAATGTTTTAGAGGCAGAGATAAGGTCACATGCACAAAAGTAGATATTAACAACTTAAGATCCCTGGACGTGGGCTTGTACTTTGCTGTTTGGGAGGCCGAGACCGAAGGGCCCCCTGGAACCCAGAACAGTAAGTGTGTAGGTAGCCAGGCTTCCAATCCCCCTAAAGTCCAGTTCCATGTGTGAACTACTGTATAGCTTTGTTTGCCCTCTTACCTGTTTAAAGTCACTTCAGCAAGTATTTGATTTTTTAGTTATCATGGGTAATAAAGGGTATTTATGCAGGAATAATGAAACAATAAAATGAGGGCGTGGTGCTGGGCCTGTCATTAAACAGGCTGAACCTGTCATTAAGCCCTTCTCTGAAGATACAAAGATCAAGTGCTGCATTTCTCTCTAGTCTGCCTAGGGGAGTTTGAATGAACATATTTTGCTTTACAAATTTAAAATGTTAGCAACTGATGCTGCAGTGACATTGGAAGGGAGCCACAAGTTGTATGTCTGTTGCCAAACAACTTTGGGGAGATGCTGCATGAGAATGGCTGAAAAGTTCTTATTTACAAAATAGGCTCGGAGTCCTGATGAAGCCAGCATTAAAAGAAGGTCAAGTGTTTTATTTTTTTAAAAACCCAGAATTTCAGAACACATCTTCTGGTACTTGCTGGTGGCCACTTCTTCACTTCTAGTCTTCAGCAGAGCAATGAAGTCTCTTTCTGGGTGAAACATGCATAAACTGTTTATATTTTGTCTTGGGAACCAGCCCCAAATGTATTTGCTGTCCCAGGTATGCACAGGTAGAATCGATGGACAGTGGGAAACCGAGCTTCCAGAACTAGTGGCATTGGTGTTTGCTAGCAAGTGGAAGTACTAAACCAGCAGGCTGATATTAACGGGTGTGAACCAAATAGATTTAGTCTAGGATGTTTTTTTACCAGTAAAACTTGGCTACTCTGAAATTTGGTCCACAATTAAATGTAACACAGAAGACTGTGTGTGTGTGCTTGGCGTATGAGCATATGTATGTGTGTGTGCCCACATGAAGGCCAGATGAGGACGCTGAGTGTCATGTCTTACTTATTGCTTTGAGGCAGGGTCTCTCTTTGCACCTTGAGCTAGCCTGGTGGCCAATGAGTGTGGAAGGTTCTCTGATTCTGTCTCTGTCTTTCGCCTTCCCCCAACACTGTGGTGACAGCTGTGCGCTGGATAATGCCCATCTTTTTTTATGTGGATGCTGTGATCTGAGCTCAGATTCTCATGTTTATGTAACAAGCTCTTTTACCCACTGAACCTTATTTTTAGTCCCAGAAGTCTGTCTTTTAGGGTGTTGCAGGGACCCTTTTTTTACTAATGGATCCAGTGATTAAATTTAGTCCAATGTATCTTTATTGGCTATGTCTGTATTCTAACATTTACTATGGAGATATATTTTAATATGTATTTTTACTAATATATATTTACTGGATATTTGGGGATTAAGGAAGAGTGGAGCTTAACTCTGGATGAAAACGTTCATCGAACGTTTTAGGGGAGTTTTATTGAAGAGAGTCTTTATCTGTTTGCTTAATTATTTCAGTACTAGCGACTGAACCCAGGGCTTGTGCATGCTAGGTTGCATTTGCAGCTTGTACTGAAGTAGTTAAAATATTCTCCACAATCACGTTGCTTCGTGTAATCTATGAGCTTTGGACGTCTCTGACACTTGCAAAGTTATAGGTACTTTGTACCAATTTCTAAGCTACCTTCTGTATAGTTAATGTTTCCGGGCATTAAAACATAGGTAAGACAATTAAAAAAATGTTTTCCTGGAAAGGAAGCACAAAAAAATCACAGTAATACAGGAAAAAAGCAAATGAGCAGAAGCATGACTGAGGGTTTTCCTCGAGGAAGAAATGGGAGTTTTACTCATTAAGCTGAAGGAAAAGCATTTGGGGTAGGGGCAATGCTTGCGGAGCACGCGATTGCAATTACCAGCACCAAGGACAGCGACAGCCCGGCTGCCGGTCTGGGTGGTCCTTACCCCGAAGCAAACAGAATCTAGGGACACTAATCCTGGTGACCTATTGCCCCGCCCTGTCCCCCAGTTGGAATCTCAGCATCCGGGTGGCTGTGGCAGAAGGGTTGTGGTAAGTTTGAGGCCAGCCTGGACTACAGGGCAAGAAGCCTTGTTTTAAAAGCACAAACAGAATAACAGGAAACACCACATAAGGGAACTCAACGGGCTTTCCCCCTAAAAACCTGCTCAACTTGCTTTCCAGATATTATTGTGTCATCTATTGTTGTATCTACAAAGAATAGATTCACTGATTTGAAAGAAGGAAAACAAGCAAACATTTATTCTGTCTCCTGTTCCAAGCGCTTTCCAAGTGTTATTACATTCTTCCTCCATAAAGCTCCTATGTGACATACACGGATACCGTCATTTCACAGATAAGACAGAATAATCAGAGAAATAAGTAACTTGTGTATTACCTAATTGTTGGAGGTGGGATCTAACCTGTGGCTTCAGAACCTCTGCCCTTTACACAGCAGCTGTGGTAGGCTCAACAGCAAAGAAGCAATAAAATGACAAGCAATTATTTTCTACACTATATTTTTTTCAGGTAGCTCACACCATAGCACACCCCTAATAGACTTGAATGATGGTATTTCATATGAAATACTGATATGGCAATACGTTTGTGTTGGACAACAGAGTGAGTTAATTAAGCATTTTGTCTGTCCCTGGAGCTCAGGATGAAGGACAACCTGATGTTTGTGGCTCAGACATAAAGAGAGATGAAGCAGGGTTGGAACATAGCTTCAATAGAAGTGTTTCATCTATACCTTGGCCAAGTGGAGTCTTTGTAAGTGAGGAGAAAGGCAAACTAAGTGATAAGCTGGCTTTAAGTTTGGAGATTGAGGCCTGGAGAGATGGCTGAGAGGTTAAGAGCCCTGGCTGCTCTTCCAGAGGTCCTCCTGAGTTCCGTTACCAGCAACCACATGGTGGCTCACAACCATCTATAATGAGATCTGGTGCCCTTGTCTGGTGTGCAGACATACATGCAGACAGAATGTTGTATTCATAATAAATAAATAAATAAATAAATAAATCTTTAAAAAGTTTGGAGATTGGTAGGAGGAAATGAGTAAAATCAGTTCCAGTACTGTATAGCATGGAGATCACTGGGGATATTTATGTGATAGTGACACTAGATACGGACTCGCTATAGAAGTGTGGCTAGAATCAGGCCAAGGAAGTAGTGACATAACTACTTTGTGTGTTCCAGTGTTTTCAAGTGACTAGAGAAGGAAATACAGTCATTTATGGGACTTTTCAAGTTATATACAACCCACCTCCTCTTCAGGAGGCTTGACTTTCTACAGTTCCCTAGTTGGTAATAGTTGCTACAGGAGCCATAGTGTATCCCATTTTGTGTCTTTTATGTTATTGCGTTCTTCTTCCCTCCTCCCCTCCCCTTCCTGTGCTGGGCTTTTGAGGCAGGATCTCACAAAGTTGCTCAGTCTGGCCTTTTAACTTTTGACCTCCCTCTATCAGCCTCCTAAGTTCTGGGATTATAGGCGTGTACCCACCACTGGTTTCTTTGACCATCTGTCATATCCTTAGGGGGTTGAGGAACAGCAGTATCTTGACTTTTCTATCTTCATTTCCCAGGGGGACCATCTTGAAAGAGGACATGCTCTTCACCTCTACTTGGTCATCATCATCCAAGAATGTCAAGACGAGCACTAAAGTGTTTTCAAATTCACTTGTATGTTCTCAAGACGACACGCTATCTCTAGGATATTCTAAACATGATTAATGATTTGAAGATTGTTGTTACAGATTTAGTGTCCCTCAGTCCTGTAGAATTCATGTTGATGTGTGAGCTCTATCTGTGGTCGATGGCTTTTGTGAGTTGGTTCCTGAGTTCTTTTGTCATGACATCAGTGGTCTTGCTCAAAATCTTTGATTTCTGATGGCATGTTCTTGTGTTATCCTGCACTCTTCCTGTTATATATATATAAAACCAACAATGTCTCTGAAGAGTGCTGGGCCTTTTTAGTAGGAAATAATACTTAAAAACCACAAGCTAGGTGTTGGCAGGGCATTTTTAAAATATTTTTTCTTTTTATTTATTTTTAAATTTAAATTTAAATTAGAAACAAGGTTGCTTCACAAGTCAGTTCCAGGTCCCTCTCCGTTTCCTTCCCCTCCTCCCGTACCCTCCCCCCAGCAGCCCCCAATATCCCCTCATTTCCCCAGGGAGGGTGAGGCCCCCCATGGGGGTGTCCATAGTCTGTCATTTCATCCAGGGCAGGGCCTAGACCCTCCCCCAAGAGTTCAGGGTGAGAGTGCATCTCACATTGTTGGATGGGAGCCCAAAGTCCATTTGTATACCCAGGATAAATACTGATCTACTACCCAAGGCTCAATAGATTACCTAGACCGCCTCACTGACACCCACATTCAGGGGGTCTTGATTAGTCCTATGCTGGATTCCAAGGCATCAACCTGGGATTCAAGAGTTAACCCTTGTCAGGTCAGCTGTTTCTGGGGGTTAAACCAGCCCAGTCTTAATCCCTTTGATCATCAGTCCTCCCTCTCTGTTATTGGCTTTCTTGAGTTCAGCTCAGTGCTTAGCCGTGGGAGTCTGCCTCTTCTTCCATCAGCCACTGAATGAAGGTTCTGTTTCTCAGACTCTCTGGCCATGGGATTGTAGGCTGGCACTCCCCAGATCTATGTCTAAAAGCCATATATGAGAGAGTACGTGGCAGGGCATTTTTGCTTCCAGGCTGGTCACTATATGTCTTGGTCCTTGTCTTTATACACAAGACCTAATTGTTTTTTTTTTTCAAGACAGGGTTTATCCACATAACCCTACTGTCCTGGAACTCACT